AAGCTATTGGAGAGAGAGAAGAAAGTCTTGACAATTCATTTAGAAGGCTTCAGTCTTAGAACTTGGAAGTCTTCAGAACTAACTTAGAAGTTAATTTGGGGGTTGAAAATTGAAAGGGCCCCCACAACATCCAACTGGCTGCCATTCTGGGCTAGGATGTTGCAAGATGTCTCAATGGTTGCATCTTAACTGGAGTCCCAATGCTTATTTGTTGCAAATAAGAAGACCCTTAGGTTTTTCTCAAGGAAGGCTTCAAGCCTAGCTTGTCGATAGTATCCAAGGGGTACTTGAAACTCGCAACCGCTGCATTGCGGTGTCCTTGGTATCCTCTTAGCTTGGTTGCCTCCAAGTTGTTTCTTCCAACAAAAACCCAAGAAAGTCCCTCTTTTGGAAAATGCACCTTTTGGGACAACAATGACCTGGATCTGAGAATCTCCATAGACGTTCTGAGCTTGGTTGTTTTCTTGCAGGCATTTCATAACCCAACTAGATAACTTCAGTGCTAGAAGGAAGTAGGGTTTGTGAGGAGGAAGGCGGGGGAGGGGGTTGGGTCCTGGGTGCTCTCTGAGCTTGGTTGTTTTCTTGCAGGCATTTTATGACCCAAACTAGATAACATCATAACATCATCAGTGCTAGAAGGAAATGAGAGTTGTGGAGAGAAGGAGAAAGAGAGAAAAAAGAGAACTTTGGAGTCCTTGGTGCTCTCTGAGCTTGGTTGTTTTCTTGCAGACATTTCATGACCCAAACTAGGTAACATCATCAATGCTACAAGGGAAGTGGGTTGGCAAGGAGAAGAAAGAGAAGGACTGTGGGGCCCTTGGTGCTCTCTAAACTGGGTTGTTTTTTTTCATGATCCAGACTAGGTAACATCATCAGTGCTACAAGGGAAATGGGTTGTCGAGGAGGAGGAAAGGACATGGAAGACTACGACTACTGTAGGGTCCTGGGTGCTCTCTGAGCTTGGTTGTTTTCTTGCAGACATTTCATGACCCAACTTGGTAACCTCTTCAATGCTAGCACACCCAAACTCCGAGAACACCAAAGACCCCACAGTTCAGCCATGAGCTACAATATTCTCTCCTATGAATACCTCATTGGGGTCCTTTGGTCTTGTTGGTGTAGCTTTTGACCAAGTTCTAAAACCACCTTGGTTCATTTTCATTAGTTTCCCAGAAGGGACAATAGAGTTGGCTGGGCGGACCTTGTGCTTTTAACAGAATAACAGAGTTGGAAGGGACCGCTGAGGTCTTCTAATCCAGCCTCCCGCTGAAGCAGGAGACCCTGTCCCGTTCCAGATGAATGGCTGTCCAATCTCTTTTTGAAAACCTGCAACGATGGAGCACTCAAAGCTTCTGGAGGCAATTCTGGGAGTTGAAGTCCACGTCTTAAAGTGGCTAAGTTTGAAGACCCCTGCTTTAAAGTCTGAGTATGTGAGGAACCAGAGAAGCAACAACCCCTGAAAGATTTCGAAGGTGGGGGAGTCAAGCCATTATGCCCCCCCCCAACAACTGGCCTGCATCAGAGCACCTAGAATAACAGTGTTGGAAGAGACCTCAGAGGTCATCTATCTAGTCCAGTGGTTCTCCACCTGTGGGTCGGGACCCCATTTGGGGTCGAACGACCACTTCACGGGGGTCGCCAAACAATGCAGTCCATTTTTCCCCCCTTTTCCTTAGCTGTGCTACTCCCTTTTATTCTATTGGCTTTTGAAAGCCAATAGAAGAGACTCTCTTGAATAGGGTCTAATTCTATTGGCTTTCAAAAGCCAATAGGAATTGTCCAGGCTGTCTCTGCCCTGCTGAGCCCGCCAAAAGTCCCATTCTGCAAACGGTGCTGCACCGGTTGAGTAGTCCTCCACTTACGACCAGTTGAGTAGTCCTTGACTTACGACCGGTTGGGGGTCACGGCATTAAAAAGGTTGAGAACCACTGATCTAGTCCAACCCCCTGCTCAAGCAGGAGACCCTCTACCATTTCAGACAAATGGCTGTCCATGGTGGGGGAGTTAAGCTGTTAATGCCCCCTCCCCAACAACTGGCCTGCAGCAGAGCACCTATGGGACTCCCCACCTCATCCCCAGCATCTTAGGGGAGAAGCTCTTTTACTGTGTCCCCTGCCCAGCACCCTCTCCCACCCTCCCAATCAGGAGGACCTCCTTGAAATGGCAACAGCAGCTAAAGGCCACCCTCTTTCTGATGGTGGGGGGGCTGAGTACACTCTGCCAATAAACATACCAGCTGGCGGGAAGAGGTAGATTAAACATTGCTGGGCCATCTCTGACTTGTGAGTGCTGTTAGGACGGTCTCAATGCCGAAAGCAGGATTCTCGTGGTATCTCACACACCCCAGTTCAAATGGTTGCCTCTCCCAAGACATGTCTGCTCAGGAGCATTTCATTTCTGGCCCAGCTCCCCAGGGCCATGTCGGGGCATCTGTTGGCATCATAGCTGTTGGCATCGTGTGATAACCATCTATTCTAGAGAGACGTCTGTTCCGAAGCTCTGGGGCCAGAGTAGCCCAAACTACTTAGTTGGGAGTGGGTGGCTCAGCTGAAGTGGCTCCATACGGAGGTGGAGCTGACAGGCTGGCTATCTGCCCTCAGGAACTCTCCTGCCAGGCCAGTGTTTCTCAACCTTGACCATTTTAAGGCATGTGGACTTCAACTCCCAGAATTCCACAGCCAGCAATGCTGGCTGTGGAATTCTGGGAGTTGAAGTCCACATGCCTTAAAATGGTCAAGGTTGAGAAACATGGTGCCAGGCAGAGCCTAGAAGCCCAGTTACGGAGCCTGTGGGGGGAAGACTCCGGAGGACGCCAAAGGCCCCATTTATGATGGGCTTAGAGCTCAATCAGAGGGCAAGTTGGAAGGCTAGAAATTCTGGGAGTTGAAGTCCACAAGTCTTAAAGTGGCCACGTTTGAAGACCCCTGCTTTAAAACCACCCCCCCCCCGTGTCCTTCTGTCCCCCCTGCCCTTCCCTCCTGCCAAGTACAGAGACATCTTTGAAAGCAGACTAGGCATTTCACCCATTGCAGAATTGCCTTTGAACAGGGTAAGAGCCCAACAAGTCTGCATCAGGGCCTCTGTTCCCCCCTGGGCAAGACCCACAACCCCTAGGGTCTATCGTCTCCGCAAACCACAGCTCTGAATTTCAGAAACGGGCCTTTTGGGGTGCAAGTTCCCCCCTCCCACCCACTCCCAGGTAGCCACCCCTTGGCAGGCAGGGCTACCCTGACGCATCTGGGAGGCTGGCCGGGGCAGCTCCTGGCAGGAGAGCGTGTTCCTGGCTACTTTTAGCCTCTCCGCCCATCTGGCATTCCAGGTCTTCCTCTCAGGAAATTTCTGCCCAGTTTTCTGGCTGTGGGATTTGCCAAGGGCTGACATCTCCCGCCACACTGCTCGGCTGCGGTGCGCCTCCAGACAAACGCAGGCCAATTTGGCAGAGCCAGCTCTGGGGAGGACCCAGAAGGCTGGGGCTTCTGGCTGCTCCCTGCGGCCCCCTCGCCAGCACGGAGTCCGACGCCCCAGTGAATTCGGAAGGGCAGTTATTTCTTAACTCGCCATTGGCGTCTGTGCAGGGCCCACCGCCCCGCTCTCTGTGGGGGCCGTTCACGAACTTCCCCCTGCTGAGCATGCCAAAGGTCGGACTCCACTGTCTGCAAGCCGAATCTGGCTGAGCATCTTGTCCCTCGCAGGGTGCCTGGAAGCCAGCAAGTTCCTTATTCACACAACATCTCAAAGTAGCCTCCATCGCTGGAGGTTTTGGAAAAATAGATTGGAAGAACCATTTGACTGGGATGGTGTAAGGCAGGGCTCTTCCAACTTGGCCCTTTTATGACTTGTGGACTTCAACTCCCAGAATTCCCCAGCCAGGCACGCGTGCCTGGCTGAGGAATTCTGGGAGTTGAAGTCCACAAGTCATAAAAGGGCCAAGTTGGAAGAGCCCTGGTATAAGGACTCCCAGCCTTGAGCAAGGGGTTGGATTAGATGACCTCCAAGGTCCCTTCCAACTCTGCGATTCTAGCCTCTTTAAAGCCTGGTCTTAGTCCACAGCTGTCCTCTCCTTTCTTGCAACCTGCCCTGGGCCTCTGGCTGGGGTGAGAGACCCCACTCTCTTGAACTCAGGGCAGCTGTCTTGCTCCACCCCCACCCGGCTGGGAGGCTGATCCTGGAAAGAACCCCCCCCCCTCTCCTCTTCAATCAAACCCTGCCTGTTCCAAATGGATGGACTTTGTGCAAGTGAAGAAGCCTTAAAGAGGATCTACACCATTGAGTGTCTCGTTCCCTGAAGGTCTGGTGGCCGCGGCAAACACAGGAGCCCACCCAGGGGCAAACCCACAAACCAGCCTGTGGCAACCACATCCAGTCTTGTGGCCATTTGGATGAGGCTGCCTGCTGTCCATGTCCGCCCACCCCCTCCTGCCCACCCAAGACCAGCTCCATAGTGGTGCCTGGCTGGTGTCAGGAGGTGGATTTTCTTGTGCTGGTTTGCAAGGAAACCAAATCCCCCCCCCCCAGTCCCTAAAGTCTGCCTTTGGTCTTCTTTGGGGGAAAAGCAAGCAGGGTGCCCAGAAAGCTGCCCCTTTTGGGTGCCAGGGCTCCTTCAGGGTTGAAAGTCCAGCAGCCAATGAATGCCATCTGCCTCTACAGGACACACCAATCTCTATGCTGGGGGTCCTCAAACTTGGCCAATTTAAGACTTGTGGACTTCAACTCCCAGAATTCCCCAGCCAGTCCTGCTGGCTGGGGAATTCTGGGAGCTGAAGTCCACAAGTCTTAAAGTGGCCAAGTTTGAGGACCCCTGCTCTATTGCCAATGTTTCCCTGTCCTTTGCTTGTTGGCATTTGGCTGTCCCAGCCAGGGGGCTCTGTAAGAGGCAGCAATGATGGTATTGTTGGTGGGGGGGGGTCCTCAGCCCTCTGGCCAGGGAATCCCTCTGGCCAAGGCTCCGAGCAGAACCCAAGACACCTTCTACACCCAAGGAGGGTTTACATTGCCCAAGATTCATTTAAAAAACCCCAACATTTGAAATTTAATTCTCTGAACCAAACCAAGCGCAGATGTATCCACACACACACACACACACACGCAGCCCCACAACTGGCATATGGGGAGATCCTGGGTCAATGTCTCTGCTCTGCCAGGCTGTCCTCCCCCCCCCCCCGGTGCCAAAAGCAGTTGCCGGGGTCCCGCCAGGCTGGTCTCTCTCTCTCTCAGCACGGCCATCCCGAGGAGTCTTGGTTCCTCCAGTCTGCAGAGCTTCAGTTTCAGGGGAGAGACAGGGGTGCCCAGAGCAAGGCTCAGCCAACAGCACCCCTTTTCCAAGCAGCTGCTCCCCGGTTCTCCCTTCCCACAAGGAGCCCCTGACGAGTTTAAAACCGGCAGACTCTGGCAGGCAGTCTGCTTGCAGGAGAGGGTTGGGACTGGCTGGGCCAAGTTCCAGTAGATAAGCAGCAGGTCCAAGGTGGCTGGGGAGGGCAGGGTGCCTGGGTCCTGTGCCCTGGAGAATCAACAGCAGCTGCAGTGGGTGAGGTCCATGATTCCCTGGCTGGGAGAGGAGGCTGATCTGCCAAGGGGAGGCAGAGCTGTGCTACAAGATCTGAGCTTCTGCAGAGGGAGAGAGAGGAGAGAGAAGCTGGTCAAGCGAGAATAAAAACCAACATTTGTATTGGATAATACTGTTGGAAGGTGCCTTGGAGGTCTTCTAGTCCAACCCCCTGCTCAAGCAGGAGACCCTGTACTAGGGGTTCTTCAAACCTGGCCCTTTTACGACTTGTGGACTTCAACTCCCAGAATTCCTTAGCCAGGCACGCTGGCTGATTACTTCTGGGAGTTGAAATCCACAAGTCATAAAAGGGCGAAGTTGGAAGACCCCTGCCCTTATACCAGAGGTAGGCAACTTTGGCTCTTTTATGACTCGTGGACTTCAACTCCCAGAATTCCTGAGCCAGCTGTGCTGTGCTGGCTCAGGAATTCTGGGAGTTGAAGTCCACGAATCATAAAAGAGCCAAGGTTGCCTACCCCTGCCTTATACCATTCCGGACAAATGGCTGTCCACTCTCTTCTGGAAAACCTCCAGGGATGGAGCACCCACAACTTCTGGGGGCAAGCTGTGCTTGGATTTCTCCCAGGACAGACAGCTTATCACCAACTGGATCCCCAGAATTCCCAGCCTACTTCAGCTCAGGCACCCCACTTGCCTTGTGTAGTAGACAAAGGCAACTTTGGCCCACAACACATCTGGATCCCTGGGAGGCTCTTTAGGGAGCGTGCAGCATTAATTTCTTGACTGGCCAGCTCCATTATCTCTGGCCTGAACAGACCTCCAAACGTAACGGGATTAAAAACGATTCACAACAGCCATCACTCAGGCTCCGGAGAACACGGCCATGAGCCATGGAAAACTTCAATCCACAGCACCGGAAGGCTGAAACACGCTTCCAATGGATCGGGTCCCACCCAAAGGAGTTGTTACCACTGATTTGATAGCAATAGAAGAGAATATTTGCCGTTCAGGGTTGAAATGAGGGCTCCTTGGTGCTCTCTGAGCTGGGTGGCTTTCTTGGAGATGTTTCAGGACCCAACTAGGTAACATCATCAGTGCTAGAAGGACAAGGGTTTTTTTTCTCTTTGTTTAATACAGGGGTCTTCAAACTTGACCCTTTTATGACTTGCGGACTTCAACTCCCAGAATTCCTCAGCCAGGCACACGTGCCTGGCTGAGGAATTCTGGGAGTTGAAGTCCGCAAGTCATAAAAGGGCCAAGTTTGAAGACTCCTGGTTTAATATAGACCCTGATTTGATTATCCTCCATGATCCTGAAGACTCCTGGTTTAATATAGACCCTGATTTGATTATCCTCCATGATCCTGTGCCCTGGAGGATCCAAATTGTTCCCTGCACAGGACCAGAACCACCTCCTTGAGGGAGTCCCACCAACTGAGGCGGGGAGGGTTGTCGTCCCCCCCCCCCCGCCGGAAGAGGCCCAGGCTGTACTCACTTGGCAAGGCCTTGAGGTGGGTGGCAGCTGCAAGCAGGTCCTGGTGTTTGTCTGCCTCTTTGCTCTGCTTCTTTGCCCGGATCCTTTCCACAGAAAGAGAGGAAGAGAGAGAGAGAGGAAGAGAGGGAGGGAGGGAGGGAGGGAGGGAGGGAGAGAGAGAGAGAGAGAGAGAGAGAGAGAGAGAGAGAGAGAGAGAGAGAGAGAGAGAGAGAGAGAGAGAGATGGAGGTCCTCCAACAGGTCCCAAGGTGCTTTTCCCAAAAAGGCAACTGGACTTTCTTGGCGTTTTCTTTGAAAACGTTTCGCTTCTCATCCAAGAACCAAAGAAGCTTCTTGGACGAGAAGCAAATCATATTCAAGGGGGAAAAAAAAAAAACCTAGCACAGGGGTGTCAAACTCAATTTCATTGAGGGCCGCATCAGCATTGCGATTGCCCTCAGGGGGCCGGATGGGTGTGGCCAGGGTGGGTGCAGCCTACTGGGTGGGTGTGGATGGAGTTGGGTGGCCTACTGGGTGGGCGTGGCCAGCTCTACATCGCTCGCGTCAAGGGTGCCTGTGGGGGCCTGGGCAGGAGTGGGACAGATCTGAGGGTCTCTGGCAGAAGGGTGGGACCAGGGCAAGCACCAAAGCATGGTCCATTTCTTCATTTCTCACAAAAGGTGACACCTCCCCAGCATGCACCCAGGAGGTGGGGCTGACGTGGCAGGGGCTAGTTCCTTGCTGTTTCCAGACAGCCTTGTGGAGCTAAGACTGAATGCGTTTCAGCATAAATGGCCACCACAAAATTGTACACTGACTCCCGGCTGGCCTGGGCCAGGGCCAAGGCAGAGGGGGCTGTTCCCTCACTATTTCCAGGATGGCTTCGCGGGCCACATGAAACCACTCTGCGAGCCGCATCCAGCCCCTGGGCCTTGTGTTTGACATGTCTGCTGTAAGACCAGGGAAGAAGACCATTGGCAGGAGGGGGGGGGTCTTTCAGACAGCAAACGTGGACAGCAAATCCCACATTCTCAAGAAATGCCTGAGGAGGAGAAGCTACAAGGCTTCCCCCCCTATTTGACTTTCTATCTCTGAACAGGGTGCCCCACAATTGCTACCAAGGAGAAGCTGCACAGTTCCCCCCCCAACTGACTGCCACTGGACGGGGTGCCCCCCAATTGCTGCCAATTCTGCCCCCCTCCCAGTCAATCCACTGCTGCTGAGGTCCTTCTCTGTGGCTTCCTTCAAGAATAAACATCACTGCCAGCCTATAGCAGAACGACACAAAAGGCGGGTGTTCCTTCACAACTAGCCAGGTTGCAAGGCAGAAAGCAATGCCCAGAAAGAGGCTTCTTTTTTGGGGGGGGGGAAGGGAGGAGCCTCACTGTTCCTCTCAGGCCATGTGGGGGGGCTGAATGGTGGTGCGGGTTGCCCGGAGTCCTGGGCAGCAGAGGTCAAATGCCCAGCCTGGCCCTCGAGTACCCGCGGCACCAAGCCGAGCCCCACTTCCCCAAGGGGGCGCCCAGATGCATTTACCTCCTCCTGAAGGCTGCTGCTGCTGTGCTTGCTCTCCTTAGCCAGGTTGCTCATGATGGGTACGAGGGCAAAGTCAGAGGAGGCCCATTCCCTCTCCATGGGAGGAGACCTGGCTTTGTATCCAAAGCTTCCTTAGCAATAGGATGGGAGACCCCACAGGATAGGCCAGGAGGAGGGCAAGGGGATGTGAAAGGGCAGCAGGGCAGGACTAAGGCAGGAGTTCCCTCAGACCCTCTCCCTCCTTTCCTTCCTTCCTTCCTTCCTTCCTTCCTTCCTTCCTTCCTTCCTTCCTTCCTTCCTTCCTTCCTTCCTTCCTTCCTTCCCTCCCTGCCTCCTTCCTTCCTTCCTTCCTTCCTTCCTTCCTTGCTTTCCTCCCTCCCTCCCTCCCTCCCTCCCTCCCTTCCTTCCTTCCTTCCTAAGTACAAAGTGGTGGGAAAATATTTGAGATGAGGGAGGGAGAAAAACAAGCCAGGGCCAAGGCAGCGGGGGCTGTTTCCCTCACTGTTGCCAGGATGGCTTCGCGGGCCACATGAAACCACTTCGCGGGCCTCATCCGGCCCCCGGGCCTTGTGTTTGACATGTCTGCCCTAGAAGGTCCAGTTGCCTTTTGGAAAAGCACCTTTGAGACAATCATGACCTGGATGACAGAATCTCCACAGACGTCCTCTTAGAAGCTTTGTCCCACCAGACCGAGGCTCCTTGCCCAGTCTAGTGAGCAAGTACACACTCCAGCCCGGCCACCCGCTCTCCAGGTTTTCCACCTACCACACCAGGAAGGCAAACAGCAGCAGGGCCATCAGGGCAAAGAAGGCGACGATGCCAAGAGACACCAGCGTTGCTACCTTCTCCATGGAGTCACCGTGCCCTGCTGGGGACAGAAGACATCCCTGAGCTCCGTCCCCCTGCGGGCACCTGCCAGATGTCACCCTCCCCCTTGCAAGTCGAGGGCAGAGGTGCTGGGGGCCCAATCCAGACCATGCCAGCAAAAGGGGGCTGGAGACTCCCAGTCTCTTAGCTGCAGGGCCACACACACATAGCAATGGGAGCACTTTTGCCTGGGAGATCTAAAGATCTTTGCAGGGATCTTAATTCTTCAAAGCAAATATCCTGGGTTGGAAGAGCGAGCATCGGCACCCTGGCCTTGCGCTCCATGCTGACCTCGGCTTCGGGCCTCCCACATACCGACTGGCTCGTTGTCGGGGGACAGAGAGGGCTCCTCGGCGGGTGGGTCCAGCTCAACGGTGTCCGGAGCAGCTTCGCTGGGCTCAGCAACCTGTCCTGCAGGAGGGAAACCCCAAATTGGACAGCTTGAGAAAATGCAAGGTGGGGGGCACAGTTCTCCCCACTGCCTGACCCATGGTTAAGTGTAGAGCAGGGGAAGGCAACTATAGTAACTTTAGGACCTGTGGACTTCAACTCCCAGAATGCCTGATGGTAACTTTAGGACCTGTGGACTTCAACTCCCAGAATGCCTGACGGCAACTTTAAAACTTGTGGACTTCAACTCCCAGAATGCCTGACGGCAACTTTAGGACTTGTGGAATTCAACTCCCAGACTTCTTGATGGCAACTTTAGGACTTGTGGACTTCAACTCCCAGAATGCCTGATGGTAACTTTAGGACTTGTGGACTTCAACTCCCAGAATGCCTGATGGCAACTTTAGGACCTGTGGACTTCAACTCCCAGAATGCCTGATGGTAACTTTAGCACTTGTGGACTTCAACTCCAGAATTCCCGGCCCAGCACAGGTCTTAAAGTTGCATAGTTGCCCACCCCTGGTGTAGAGACGGAGAAGGTCAACCAATACCCACAAAGGGGCCCCAGAGCAATCACACCAGGCCCAGAATCCCCAACCCGGTGGCCCCACAGATCTGGACCCCTCCACCCTCAGCAGAGGCTCCTGCTTTCTGCAACTCTTCATCTACTTTGGGTTCAAAAACAGCTCTCGTTGCATCCTTTCAACCCAAAATGCCAACGAGAAGGAATATCCGGCCAGCCCTGGAAGCACCAAGCTGCGTCTTCCAAGGACTCATTTTTCAGATGGAAAAATGCAAGGGAATGGGAAAAAAAAAAGAAGGTAGCTGGGAATGCTCTGCAATGCCCCCCCCTCCTGCCACCCACTCTCTTTTCAGAAAAATGGAAAGAAGTTAAACTTTGCAAAGCTGCCTTAATACTTTCTTTTGGCGTGACGGATGCACTGAAAAGGTTAGGGAAAATATTTCCATATTGCTATCCAGCCCCAAAAGAGGCCACAAGCAGACTTTGCGATCAGACTCTTGATCAGCTCCAAGTGTTACAGCCTCAGGACTCAGAGAAAGCCCCCCACAGTCCCCCCCAGGCCGGATTTCCGCCATGAGGGTCCAAGGGAATTCTCCTGGCCTCACTGTCCCTTGAGGCTTTTAATCTTCAAAGAGTATGCATGTATGTGTTTGCGCATAGGTGTGCATTTGCTAACATAAAACCCCAAGGCCGGAAGGGACCTTGGTGGTCTTCTAGTCCATCCCTCCGCTCAAGGCAGGGGAACCTTACGCCATCCTGGTCAAATGGTCTATTTTTGGTATAGGGTCTCCTACTTGAGTAAGGGGTTGGACTAGAACAGGGCTTTTCAACCAGTGGTACGGGTACCACCTGTGGTACATTGGCACCTGGCAGGTGGTACGCGAGCACCCTAGAAAAGTGGTAGCGGGGGAGGGGAATGAGCTGAACCAGTGGCAGCACTGCACAAGCCTGAGCAAGAGATGGTTGAAGCTGCAGGGCTGTCAGGGCTCAGCGGAAGTGCCAGGATCAGAGACAGACTCCCGCTGGAGCTCGGCGCTGATCCTGGCGCTTCTGCTGAGCCCAGAAGAAGCGCCAATCAGCTGGAATGTTGCAGCATCCCCAGGGTCTTGTGATTTACATTCAGATGCTTGGCAACTGATTCATATTTATGACGGTCACAGTGTCCCAGGGTCATGTGAAGTGACCAAAACCTGCTGCAACCACCCAGCAGACGGGAAAAATAAAAACCAAACAACCCCCACCCCATTCCCACTGCCAATCCTCAACAGAAATGCTCACAACAATGAAAACCTCGGACAGGAGGAAGAGCGCCGCTGGGTGGGCAGGCAGGTGTCTTGCCTGTCTGTGGGTTGGGGGCACTTTTTTCAGTGCCATTGTAAGTTCGAACAGTCACTAAGCGAACTGTTGTAAGTCAAGGACTACCTGTACTTTATCACTTTTTTCCTTTTCTTTTTTTTTTGTGATCATCAAGTTTTAGACACCTTGCTAGGCGACTGGTGGTACTCAGATATTGCCATATCCTAAAAATGGTACAATGGGTGAAAAGGTTGAAAAGCCCTGGACTAGATGATCTCAAAGGACCCTTCCAACTCTGTTATTCTTTAAAAAAAAACCCACTGATGGAGCACCCACAACCCCAGGACAGTTGTCATGCAACAGCTTGGCCGCAGCATTATCCATCTCTGCAAACACAGGCAGTCCTAGACTTACAGCTGTTCATTTAGTGCAGTGTTTCTCAACCTTGACAATTTTAAGGCATGTGGACTTCAACTCCCAGAATTCCACAGCCAGCATTGCTGGCTGTGGAATTCTGGGAGTTGAAGTCCACATGCCTTAAAATTGTCAAGGTTGAGAAACCCTGATTTAGTGATTGTTCGAAGTTACAACAGCACTGAAAAAACTGACATGGGGACCATTTTTCACACTTACGACATTGCAACATTTTCCCCAGGGTCACGGGATCAAAATCAGGATGCTTGGCCACTGACTCCTATTTATGACGGTTGCAATGTCCCCGGCTCACTTTTGCCACCTTCCGACACGCAAAGTCAACGGGGAAGAAACCGGATTCGCTTAACAACCGGGTGGCGAACTTGACAACTGCAGTGGTTCCCTTAAAACGGTGCCAAGAAAGGGTGTAAAACGGGGCAAAACTCGCTGAACAAAGGTCTCGTTTAGCAACCGAAATTTGGGGCGCCGTTGTAGTTCTAAGTCCAGGGTCACCTGTAGGTCTCCTATTTTAACGTCGACCCGAGATTTAGTCCCCACCTCGCCCCACCTCAACCCTTTCCCCCCTGCCCTGTTCTTCTCCCCCCGTTCCCCCCCCCCAAGTGGTGCCCTTTCCCTGCCCTTACCAGCAGCCGGCCAGCCTCGTGCCTCTGGGCTCCACTCGCTCCAGCTGCCAGCATCCAGGAAGTCCTTGGCGCTCACCTGGACCGCGTGCTCCAGGCCCATCAGGGCGTCCGTGATCACCTCGGACAGGTTGCTCGTCTCCACCTGCCGAGCCAGGAGGCGGCTCCCGTCAGCCCATCCGCTGACCCCAGCCGGCCGTAGACTCTGCTGACGTGGGGGGTCTGAGCAGAACCGACTGCCCCCCTCCACCAGCCACCCCAAATGCATAGGGCACATTCCGGGAAGGACAGACAGGATTCTTGTGCAAGCACGGGGTCCCCCGTGTTCGAGACCCCCCCACACACACCTAAACCCCACTCCACTCACCATTGACCAGGAGCTGTGAAAGACCGGCCGGTAGCGCACCCGGAAGTGGAGCTGGAAGGAAGGCTCTTTGGGCCAAGAGGAGGGGTATGCCCAGCTGACGTGCAGCCGCCGGGGGGCCAGGGGCACCGGCTCCACCCGTACATGCTCTGGAGGATCTGGCTTGGCTGGAGGGGAGGCAGAGGAGAGGAGCTGAGACCCTGGAGGGGGAACAAGCCAGCCCCCTCCCCATGCCTTTCCCCATTCTCTGGGCCCAAACTCCGTTTGACTGGGAACGTTGAGGAACCATCTCAGCCTTGTAGGACTGACCCACCCCACCTCCCCTGGCAGAGGAGTCCAGCAGCAGGCCCCATCAGCCAGGGTGTATCTGGTGGTGGTGGTGGGGTCTCCAGGAGATGGTCCTTCTCTACTGTGGCTCCTGCCCTTTGGGACATCAAGGTGAGGTCATCCCCAGCCCTCCTCACCAGAGAAGAGCCCGAAGACCTGGATCTGCCTGGCTGGCTTGGGGCTCCAATGGAGGGGGTTTTCACATGGGGGGTCTTGCGATTAATAACAGATCCCCCCTACCCCAGCTCAGCCTATTCCAGTGATGGCGAACCTTTTAGAGACCGGGTGCCCAAACTGCAACCCAAAACCCGCTTATTTATTTCTGGATGCCAGGTGGGCGTGACCCAGTGGGTGGGCGTGGCTGTAGTGGTCATGGCAGACAGAGTGGGTGTGGCCAAGGTGGGCGTGGTCACCTTGATGTTGCTCGTGGGGACGGACGCCTGTGGGGGCTGAGCAGGGATCGGGGAGATCCAGGGGGTCTCTGGCAGGTGGGATGGTGGGCAGGAGGCCAGGTGAGGCAGGGCAGGGGTGCCATTGTTGCAGGGCAAGGTGAGGCAGGGACCGGGGTGGCCGCTGCCTGACACCATCACCCCCCCCCCACACAGGCTAGCGAGCGCACAGGGGCTGACAGTGTCCATCAGCAGCCACAGCCTGCTGGCCCCTCGACTGGTGCACTCTGGGGCTCTGCAGCCCGCCCCCAGAAGTTTGTCTGAGCTGGATGGATAGCCGACAGCTGAGGCGGCAATGCAGTGGGTCGTGCCCAGGAAAAGGAGAGCATGCAAGGCCAGGAGGGATGGGACGGGGGGAGGGAAACTAGTCATGCTGGGATGCATCTGACCATGTGGGACCTCAGCGAGTTAGCGGGCAGCTGGTTGAAGAGGGACGGTTGCCATCTTTGGGGCATGGCATGTGTGCCCACAGAGAGGGCTCTGAGTGCCGCCTCTGGCACGCGTGCCATAGGTTCGCCACCACCGGTCTATTCCCTCCCTCCCTATCTTTTAGCTTTATTCATAGCCGATCATTTGTATTTTCATAATGTTTTACTCCAATTATATGCATACAGGTAGTCCTCGACTTGCAACGGTTCCTTCTGTGACTGTTCAAAGTTATAGCAGCACTGGAAAAAGCGACTTATGACCGTTTTTCACACTTACGGCCATCGCAGTGTCCCCGTGGCCGTGTGATCAACATTCAGATGCTTGGCAAGCGACTCACGTTTATGACGGCTGCAGTATCCCGTTTTGCGAAAGTCAAGGGGGGGAGCCAGAATCACTTAACAACCATGTGACTCACTTAAGAACTGCAGTGAATTCACTTAACAACAAGCACAAATCTCTTAACAACTGCCTCGCTTAGCAAAGGAAATTTGGGGCTCAAATGTGCTCATAAGTCGAGGACTATCTGTAAAGCAAAAGGAAGCTGAAGGAGCACATAATAAGCCCAGGGGTGGCTTCATTTAGCAACTGCTTCACTTAATGACTGGGTGGCTGGTCACTAAATGAGGACAGTCCACAAAGAGCCCCTTCCTTTCTAAGACAGCCTGGGTGCTCCTCCCCCAACGGGCGGGGCTTACTGATGCTGTGGGCGATGATGTCCAGGAGAGAGAAGCTGGAGCCCAGGGGGTTCACCTCCGTCACGTTCACACGGTAGGAGCTCCAGAACTGGGACTTGCTGACAGTGCAGGAGAAAGGGAGGGCAGGATCCTGGACACACAGACCCACATTGCTGACCCGGGATCTGCTTGCACAAAGGGAAGAGAAAGCGTTTGTCCTGAAAGCTCTTGGCCAAGGGGAAAATAGGACATAAACTCCCATAATCCCCAACCACAAACCAACATGCCGGGGGAAAAAAGTCTACACAAACTGATGAAGTTAGAAAAACTAGGGAAACTCAACATTAAGAAAACTAAGATCATGGCATCTGTCCCTCTCAATTCCTGGCAAATAGATAGGGGAGGTAGTGACAGATTTTATCTTCCTGGGCTCCAAGATCACCTCAGATGGAGACTGCAGCCAAGAAATTAGAAGACGCTTGCTCCTGGGGAGGAAAGCTATGGCAAATCTAGACAGCATCCTAAAAAGCAGAGACATCACCCTGCCAACAAAAGTGCGTATAGTCAAGGCCATGGTTTTCCCAGTTGCAATGTATGGCTGTGAAAGGTGGACCATAAGAAAGGCTGAGCGCCAAAGAATGGAGGCCTTTGAACTCTGGTGCTGGAGAAGACTCCTGCGAGTCCCTTGGACTGCAAGGTGTTCAAACCGGTCAGTCCTAGAAGAGATCAACCCTGACTGCTCTTTAGAAGGCCAGATCCTGAAGTTGAAACTCAAGTCCTTTGGCCACCTAATGAGAAGGAAGGACTCCCTGGAGAAGAGCCTAATGCTGGGAAAGTTTGAGGGCAATAGAAGGGGACAACAGAGAATGAGGTGGCTGGATGGAGTCCCTGAAGCAGGAGGCGTGAGCTTCAATGGACTCCAGAAGATGGTAGAGGACAGGAAGGCCTGGAGGAACGTTTTCCATGGGGTCGCAATGGGTCGGACACGACTTTGCAACTAACAACACCGACCTTAAAAGAGAGACCAAGCAAAGGTGGGGGAAGAAAGGGGCCCTGGTGTCAGTAGTGGTCCGGGGCACTTGGCACCATCCCAAAAGCACCATCTGGAAAAGTACCCAGACCCGAGAGGAACAGAGAGAATCTCCCAACCTTGTTGTTGTTAATTGCGAAGTCGTGTCCGACCCATCGCGACCCCATGAACAACATTCCTCCACGTCTTCCTGTCCTCTACCATCTTCTGGAGTCCATTTAAGTTCACACCTACTGCTTCAGTGGCTCCATCCAGCCATCTCATTCTCTGTCGTCCCCTTCTTCTCTTGCCCTCCATCTTTCCCAGCCTTAGGCTCTTCTCCAGTGAATCCTTCCTTCTCATTAGGTGGCCAAAGTATTTGAGTTTCAACTTCAGGATCTGGCCTTCTAAAGAGCAGTCAGGGTTGATCTCCTCTAGGACTGACCGGTTTGATCGCCTTGCTGTCCAGGGGACTCGCAGGAGTCTTCTCCAGCACCAGAGTTCCAAGGCCTCAATTCTTTGGCGCTCAGCCTTTCTTATGGTCCAACTTTCACAGCCATACGTTGCAACTGGGAACCTATCATCTCCTAAATGTTGCACAGTCTGGCACAGCCCAAATCTTCCAACTCTATCATTAGCTCTCTTCGACCCTTGGGCAGAATCCAGCAAACAAAAGGACTAAATCCAGTGGAAGCTATTTGCAGTCTCGGTAAATAGCCAATTCCCAGACCCATCATAATAATGCACAATAATGATAATACGTAGTAGTGTATAATACGTTGATTGGCATCCATGCTTTCTTCCCAACAGCCACCATCAAAACGCAAGTTCTTCCATAGACAAAAAGAAATGGAAAAGCCCGTTGACTGGGTTTCCCTCCAAAGGGTGTTACGAACGGTGTTCTGATACCGCCATCCTAGGCTCTTAAACCTGGACAGCTAGTCTGGATGCAAATGGGGAAATCTGGGACCGGTGGGCAAATGTGGACTGCCAAAGGGCAGGGCCTACCTTGACTTGTCAGTTCCGGGCGGCTGTTTCATCCTGGGAAATGAGAAAAAGGAAATGAGAACGAGAAGCAGAAAGAGGGGTGATCCAACTGGATCCCCCCCACCCCTGGGCATCCAGAAGAAACGCAGGACCTTTTACCCCAGTACCCCAACTGGCCATCCCTGAGTCCAGGCAACCTCACCCCAGAGCCAGCAAAGGAGAGCAAATCGCATCTGATAAAGCAGGGGTTCTCAACCTTGGCAACTTTAAGACTTGTGGACTTCAACTCCCAGAATTCCCCAGCCAGCAGGACTGGCTGGGGAATTCTGGGAGTTGAAGTCCACAAGTCTTAAAGTTGCCAAGGTTGAGAACCCCTGTGATAAAGGCTGCCTCTTCTATTCCCACGAGGCTGAAAGGGCCAGCTGGGCTGTATCTGCCTCCTTTGGCTAATAAACCAAGCAGAGGGTCCCTGCTCCGCCCACCTTAATACAAGCCTGGTGAAAGTGCCCCATTGGTCTATTGTGAGCTCAAAATCCTCATGGTCTTGCTTATCATGGCCCTACTCCACTCAAGAGGCCTTTCCCCCATGCGCTGCTGTGGTGAAGACAGTAATCCTTAAGCCAGTGGTGGCGAACCTATGGCACGTGTGCCAGAGGCGGCATTCAGAGCCCTCTCTGTGGGCACATGCACCATGCCCTGGAGATGGCAACCGTCCCTCTTCAACCAGCCGTCCACTAACTCACCAAGCTCCCATGTGGCCGGATGCATCCCAGTATGGCTGGTTTCTCTCCCCCCGTCCCATCCCTCCTGGCCTCGCATGCTCTCCTTTTCCTGCATCGTGGAACCCACTGCATCGCCTCCTCAGCTGTCGGCCGGCCGTCCAGCTCGGAGGCGGCTTCTCTGAACTGCTGGTGGTGGGCTGCAGAGCCCCAGAATGCACCAGCTGAGGGGCTGGCAGGCTGTGGCTGCTGACGGACACTGTCGGCCCCCATGTGCCCGCTGGCCTCTGTGTGCGGGGGCCAATGGTGTCAGACAGCAGCCGCCCCGGCCCCTGCCTCGCCTTGCCCCGCGGCAATGGCACCTCCACCCTGCCTTGCCTTGCTTCACCCTGCAGGATGAGCCTCCTGCCCACCGCCCCACCTGCCAGAGACCTTCTGAATCTCCCCTAACCCTGCCCGGCCCTCATAGGCGTCCCTTCCCACGAGCAACGATGACCACGCCCACCTTGGCCACACCCACCCAGTCTGCCATGACCACCCAGTGGGCCATGCCCGCCCAGCACCCGGCGACAAATAAGTGGGTTTTGGGTTGCAGTTTGGGCATTCGGGCTCTAAAAGGTTCGCCATCACTGCCTTAAGCCATCCTTCTTGCACCGTGATTTCCCCGTTCAGGACTCTCTGCCGGGAGTCACAGCTCCCCTGGCCTTCCAAATTGAGGGCTGGGCTCCGCAGCCAAGGCAGAAGGTGCAGGCTGCCTCCGCCCTTGGCTGGGGAGCCCAGCTTCCCTCTGACCATCAATTTGGAAGGTGCAATGGAAACCTTCTGGAGAAGTCTTTGTTTGTTCCAAGTAAGGTTCGGGAGAGGAAACGCCTGTGGGTTCTTCCACTGGAGAGCAGGAGGATCATTAAAGAAGATGTGGAGGAAGCAAAAATGCCTTTTCTTCTTCTCCTTCTCTGCCCCTCCAGCTCCCCCTCCAACATTCTTCTTGCCCCATAGATCTAGGCCTCCCCTCCCCTTCGTAGACCCCCTTTGCAGCCCTCCTCAGCTCAGCTGACTCCTGCATGGCCCAGCCCACACTCACCGATATACAGAGAGGTGTCCCAAAGGTTCTTTTCCCAAAAGGCAAAAGGACTTCCTTGGATTTTTCCAGAAAGTCCAGAAAAATGACTTACAATTTTCTGGCCTTTCTAGTTGTCGTAAGTCAACCGGACGGTCAACTTAACACCAACTCATCAAGGAGAGAGAACGAAGGAGAAATCTCTTTAATTGTGAGAACAATTAACCAGTGCAATGGAAGTTGCCTCCAGAAGTTGTGGGTGCTCCATCGCTGGAAGTTTTCAAGAAGTGACTGGACAGCCACTTGTAGAAATGGGATAGGTCAGGGGTAGGCAACCTTGGCTCTTTTATGACTCGTGGACTTCAACTCCCAGAGTTCCTGAGCCAGCCATGCTGAGGGGAAAGGGAGAGGTTTCCAAGCTGAGCCATGGCTGGCTCAGGAATTCTGGGAGTTGAAGTCCACAAGTCATAAAAGAGCCAAGGTTGCCTACCCCTATCCTAAGTCCTCCTCTTCTAAGCGGTGAGCCTCCTAGGCCAGGGGTAGGCAGCCTTGGCTCTTTTATGACTCATGGACTTCAACTCCCAGAATTCCTGAACCAGCATGGCTCAGCTTGGAAACCTCTCCCTTTCCCCTCAGCGTGGCTGGCTCAGGAATTCTGAGAGTTAAAGTCCACGAGTCATAAAAGAGCCAAGGCTGCCTACCCGTGGACTAGGCCTACCAGTTTCTGATAATCTACTCCTGTCAGGCTTAATAGACTAGGCCAGGGGTAGGCAACCTTGGCTCTTTTATGACTCGTGGACTTCAACTCCCAGAATTTCTGAGCCAGCCACGCTGAGGGGAAAGGGAGAGGTTTCCAAGCTGAGCCATGCTGGCTCAGGAATTCTGGGAGTTGAAGTCCACGAGTCATAAAAGAGCCAAGGGTGCCTACCCCTGGTATAGGGTCTCCTGCTGGAACAGGGGGTTGGAGTAGAAGACCTCCAAGGTCCCTTCCAACTCAGTTATTTTGTCCAGTTGCCTTGGGGGAAAAGCAGCTCTGGGACAACCGTGACCTGGGTGAGGGAGGATCTCCACGGACGTACAGGTAGGTGGCAATGTATCTGGTGGGCAGGTGTGTCTCCACGCTGGGGGTCCAGAAGCAGGAGAAGTTCTCGTAGTTGGAGGCTCGGCAGGCGACGGAGGGGGGTCCAGGGAGACCTGCAGGCAAGGAGGGAGACACGGTGCTTGGCAAGGAGGGAGACCAGCACCTCTCCGGTTCCATGTGTGGCTCTCTCGCCTTATGACCACAACTGAGCCCAAAATTTCTGTTGCTCAGGGAGACGGTTGCTAAGCGAGTTTTCTCCCACTTTACAACCTTTCTTGCAGCCATCGTTACATGAATCACCACAGTTGTTAAGTTAGGAACACAGTTGTTAAGTGAATCTGGATTCCCCATTTGCCTTTGCTTGTCAGAAGGTTGCAAAAGGGGATCACGTGACTCCGGGACACTAAATAGGAGTCAACTGCCAAGTGTCTCAATTTTGATCATGTGACCATGGGGATGTTGCGACGGTCGTAAGTGTGAACAGTGGTCATAAGTTGCTTTTTTCAGTGCCATTGTTAACTTGAAACGGTCACTAAAGGAACTACCTTACCCGCCCGCAGTTCACCACTTGGTTGCTTCTCCCTTAACCTGCAGAAGCTCAGAGTGCCCCCCCCTCCCCACCCAGGCATGCATCACTCCCTCCCACAGGAGACCCACACTTACGGCCGACTCTGAGCGCAACGGAGCCCAGGAGAAGCCCGCTGCCATCCTGGCAGCTGTAGATGCCTTCCGAGGAGAGGTCCACGTGGCTCAAGAGCAGCTGGCCCTGCTGGATGCTGGAGTCCGTGGGCAGCCCGGAGCCCCCACTCCGCTGCCATCCACTCGTGGAGCTGAAGACAGAAGAGTTGCTGTAAGACAGGGGTGTCAAATTCAATTTCATTGAGGGCCGCATCAGCATTGTGGTTGGCCTCAGGGGGGGACTGGGTGGTGTGGCCAGGGTGGGTGCGGCCTTCTGGGTGGTTGTGGATGGAGTGGGTGTGGCCTACTGGGTGGGCATGGCCAGCTCTACATCGGTCACGTCAAGGGGGCCTGGGCAGGAGTGGGACAGAACTGAACGTCTCTGGCAGAAGCGGGTGGGACCAGGGCAAGCGCCAAGGGATGGTCCATTTCTTCATTCCTCACAAAGGGTGACACCTCCCCAGCATGCACCCAGGGGGCGGGGCCAACGCGGCAGGGCTGGTTCCTCGCTGTTCCAGACGGCCTTGTGGAGCTAAGACTGAATGGTTTCAGCATAGATGGCCACCACAAAATTGTACATTGGTTCCCGGCCAGCCTGGGCCAGGGCCAAGGCAGCGGGGGCCGTTCCCTCACTGTTTCCAGGATGGCTTCGCAGGCCACATGAAACCACTTCGCAGGCCCCATCCGGCCCCCGGGCCTTGTGTTTGACATGTTTGCTGTAAGACCAGGGAAGAAGACCATTGGCAGGAGGGGGGGGGGTCTTTCAGACAGCAAACCTGGACAGCAAATCCCACATTCTCAAGAAACGCCTGAGGAGGAGAAACTGCAAGGTTTCCTCCCCCCATTTGTCTTCCTATCTCTGAACGGGGTGACCCACAATTGCTACCAAGGAGAAGCTGCACAGTTCCCCCCCCAATTGATTGCCACTGGACGGGGTGCCCCCCAATTGCTGCCAATTCTGCCCCCCTCCCAGTCAATCCACTGCTGCTGAGGTCCTTCCCTGTGGCTTCCTTCAAGAATAAACATCACTGCCAGCCTATAGCAGAATGACACAAAAGGCGGGTGTTCCTTCACAACTAGCCAGGTTGCAAGGCAGAAAGCAATGCCCAGAAAGAGGCTTCTTTTGGGTGGGGGGGGGAAGGGAGGAGTAAAGGACAGCCAGTTCAGGAGGAACAAGAGGAGGGAGAAAAAGACGGCCAAGGGCTTTCCTCAGCGGGAAGACTTCTGTGGTCCTTTCGGTGTCACTGCCCACAAAAACGGGGCCAAGAAGGACAAATGGCCGGCTCTTTTCCTTGTGGGTTTCCTATGCGGAAACCTGGTTTTTCTACCACAGGAATGAACAGCGTGCTAGAACAGGCATGGCCCAGACTGGTACAGATGGTGGAATATTCCTCTATATTTGAAATATATTACCTTAAAATGCCTGAAACTCTATATATGGGTTTATTTTTCCCAAACGGACTGAATAAAATTAAGAATTTGGAGGGATACTTTAAGAAAGACAGATATGCTTTTTTGAAAACACGCTTTTAGACAACACCAGGAGCTCAAAACTGGTAGGTCTGGGGCAGAAGATCAAAAGAGGTCCTTCAAATGGAAGAGAATATTTGTAGCTCAGGGTTTAACTAGGCTGCTCTTTGAACTCGGCTGTTTTCTTGCAGACTTAGGTAACATCATCAGTGCTAGAAGGGAGGGGGGTTTGTGGAGAGGAGAAAGTGGAGGAGGAGGAGGAGGAGGAGGAGGAGGAGAAGGAGGAGGAGAACAACAATGATGACTGTGGGGTCCTTGGTGCTCTCTGAGTTTGTTGCTTTTTTTTCAGTTTTGTGACCCCACTAGGTCACATCATCAGTTCAAGTGAGTTTTGCTCCGTAATCCTTCCTTGATTAGGATATTGCTTTCCACTTGATTGTTTGACTGGTGTTAATCCCTGCTTATCTGGTTATTGGCTGCTGAAGGCGATGTGTGTCTGGCCTCTTTGTTTCCTTCTTAGCTTTTTTTATTGGCTCTTTTGAATGGTGTGTAAATGTAAGTTATCTTTATGTGTCTACTGATCTGCATGCCAAGCCTCAGGGAATTCTATAACATTTTCGAGCAGTGGTTCTCAACCTTTTTAATGCCGCGACCCCCAACCGGTCGTAAGTCGAGGACTAAACCGGTCGTAAGTCGAGGACTAAACCGGTCGTAAGTCGAGGACTACCCAACCGGTCGTAAGTTGAGGACTTTCCCTGCTCGGGAGTGCCGCGCATGCATCGTGCTGCCCCCTGCGCTGGCCGAGGCGTAGCTAGCAAGTGGCAGAGACGGAGCAGGCCGACCACCGGCTGGGCCACCAGCTGGCCCAGCCCAAGGGAGGTAAGGCACCCACTGGAAAAGGGGGAAAAAATGGCGGACAGCCTTGCTTGGCGACCCCCGTGAAATGGTCGATCGACCCCAAATGGTTGAGAACTGCTGTTTTGGAGGGTATAGAAAACGTACAACCCTACCAAACAGGGAGCACACGTCACATTCCCTCACACTGATGATGTTTGCTAGTTAGATAATAAAATGTCTGCAAGAAAACAAGCTCAGAGAGCATGAAAGACTGCACAGTTCTCCTCCTTCTCCTCGCTGCAAACCCATTCCCTTGTAGCACTGATGAAGTTCCCTAGTCAGGTAATTGAAATGTCTGCAAGAAAACAGCCAACTTCAGAGAGTATCAAGGAACTCCTTCTCCTTCTCCTCTCCACAAACCCCTCTCTCTTCTAGCACGGATGATGTTACCTAGTTGGGTCATGAAATGTTTGCAAGGAAACAAGCAAGCTCAGAGAGCACCAAGGACCCCCAGTCCTCCTCCTCCTCTCCACAAACCCCTCTCTCTTCTAGCACGGATGATGTTACCTAACTGGGTAAAGACGAGGTAAAAAACCTGGTTGCCACAAGACATCCAAGCTCAGAGAGCACCAGGGAGTCAATTCTCTTCTATTGCTGCTACATATGGGCATCAAATGCTTCAGAAAGCTGGTAAATGGGAGAAATTTGCATGTGGGCAAACCCCCACTAGGGAACAACTGTTTTTCTGCAGGAAAACCTATGGCAGCCTGTCTTCCCCACCAGGGTCAGACACAAACCTGCAATAAACTGCCTAGCTGGGTGGAAAATAGCTCAGCAAAGCAGCTGAAAAAACGATAGGGCTAATGATCCTGGATGCTCACCTCAGACTAAACAACAGATAACCTCAAGGAGCAGCTGGAACAGACTGTATTACCCTGAACACACAAAAATGCTGACCACCGCCATCAAGACTGCATCTCTAAGATTACGTGAAAAAAAAAAAATGAAAACAAAACTTCAAACCAAGCTGCTCAATCTAAACTCCAGAAGCAAAGAGGTACCTGAATCCAACTAGGTCAGGGGTAGGCAACCTTGGCTCTTTTAAGACTCGTGGACGTCAACTCCCAGAATTCCTGATCCAGCCATGCTGAGGGGAAAGAGAGAGGTTTCCAAGCTGAGCCATGCTGGCTCAGGGATTCTGGGAGTTGAAGTCCACGAGTCACAAAAGAGCCAAGGTTGCCTACCCCTGCACTAGATAGTCAACATGTCCTCAATTTTCACCCCATTCAAAAGAGACAATTAAAAAAAATCAAAAACACTCGCATACCCCTTCTACAGTGTTTTCCCAAAAGTAAGACCTGGCCTTATATTTTTGTTCCAAAAGACACGTTATTTTCTGATTAGGTTCTTATTTTCGGGAAAATACAGTACTAAATGCCTCCGTCTAGCTGACAATCTTAACTGGGGCTTATTTCTGAGTTGGGGTTTATATTACGAGCATCCTGAAAAAATCATGCTAGAGTTTATTTTCCGGTTGGGTCTTATTTTCATGGGAACACGGTAGCAGACAGAGAAGCAGGCATCAACACCAGACAAATTATCAAGCAGAAAGCAATAATCAGGGACTCACCAAGGAGGAAACCACACCCCTATCAAAACTGGCAGGGCAAGCTGCTGCATATAACAGAGGTCCCCAACCTTTTGGGCACCAGGGACCAGTTACATGGAAAAAGCTTTTTCCACAGACCAGAGTGGATGGTTTTGTATGCTGCCTGCATCTCACGGATGGGGCTTTGTTTGTTTGTGTGGACTGGTTGCTGGCATGTCGTGGCCCGGTACTGGTCCACGGACCGGGGGTTGGGGACCCCTGGCATATAAAAAGGGAGCAAACTCCACCCTCCCTGGCACTGATGATGTCCCCCAGTTTGGTAATGAAATGTCTGCTAGTAAATAACCAAACTCCGAGAGAACTTCTCCTGAACTTCTGGCCTCTTAAGAAGTGGAGGGACGTTAAGAGGTGGGGTCTACAATAACTCGCCACAACCAACTCACCACGGGCAACTCACTGCAGCCAACTTGCCACGGAAAAACTCACGGTGGGCAATTTGCCACGGAACAACTCACCGTGGGCAATTTGCCACATGAACAAGAGTTACACTAATATCGTAGAAATAGTCAAACGGAATCATGAAAGAAAGGATACCAAAGGAGGGACAAAACGAAATGTGAATGATAAAGTAAAACAAAATAATTTTCTGATTATTTTAAATAATTAAATTGTCCCATTCCATAAAAGGGGGGTTTTATTGATAGACTCAGTGCAAACAGGGATAGACGGCAAGGTACCTTCAACTACCTTAGGGACCAGCTTGGGGATCTTCAGACCCTCAGCTGGACACATTCTGCACAAGAGGAACGGTTGCTGGAATTGGGTATGTCTAGTTTAACAAAGAGAAGGACGAGGGGGGACATGATAGCAGTGTTCCAATATCTCAGGGGCTGCCACAAAGAAGAAGGAGTCAAGCTATTCTCCAAAGCACCTGAAGACAGGACAAGAAGCAACAGGAGAAAACTAATCAAGGAGAGAAGCAACCTAGAACTAAGGAGAAACTTCCTGACAGTGAGGACAATTAACCAGTGGAACAACCTGCCTCCAGAAGCTGTGAATGCTCCAACACTGGAAGTTTTTAAGAAGAGACTGGACAGCCATTTGTCTGAAATGGTATAGGGTTTCCTGCCTGAGCAGGGGATTGGACTAGATGACCTCCAAGGTCCCTTCCAACATTATTATTATTATTATTATTATTATTATTATTATTATTATTATTATTATTATGACACCTGGGTGGGACCAGGATTGGGCCTGTTCAGGTACCTACCTTGGGTTTGCTCCAGGGCATTTCAGAGCCACGTCACTCCCCAGCTCGGCATAGGTCACCCCTGCAAGAAAAGCCCCAGAGCATGAGACTTGGTGCTCCATTGCTTCATGGATCCCGAATTTGCCAGAGGATGTGGAGCCATGTCTTTGCCCTTAAGAGTGGGACCTTGCAGTCCCTCTTTCCTCCTCCTTACCAAGGGTGGTGGGTTGTTTTGGCCAAAAGTAACCCCTCGTCACCCTCTGCAGGCAGCCCTCGCAATCCTGGCTTAACGTGGGGCTCACCTTCTTTTTCCCATTCTCCTGATATGGTGATGGAGGCAGTTGTGAGCACCATGGCAAAAAGGACCAGCCCTCTGCTCACCCAGCTGGTGAGGCTCAGCATCTAAGGGGCCAAAGGGGGGTGGGGGAGGGAGAAAAAAGAACATCAGGAGGTTGATTGTTAAAATTGAAAACCTGTGGGGTCGCTGTTTCCAATCCGGAGCAGAGGCTTGGACTATAAGGCTTCCCAGGTCCCTTCCAACTCTGTTATTTATTATTCATCTTTCCTTCCTTCCTTCCTTCCTTCCTTCCTTCCTTCCTTCCTTCCTTCCTTCCTTCCTTCCTTCCTTCCTTCCTTCCTTCCTTTTTCCCTCCCTTCCCTTCCCTTCCCCCTCCCTCCCCCCTTCCTCCTTCTTTCTCCATACAGGACTGGAGGCTAAAACCTATGAAGAACGGTTGCAGGAATTAGGTATGTCTAATTTAATAAAAAGGACTAGGGGTGACATGATAGCAGTCTTCCAATATTTGAGGGGCTGCCACAAAAAAAGGGGGTGTGTGTCAACCTATTTTCCAAAGCACCTGAAGGCAAAACTAGAAACAACAGATGGAAACTAATTATGGAGAGTAGCAACCTAGAATGAAGGAGTAATTTCCTGACATTGAGAATAATTAACCAGTGGAACAACCTGCCTCCAGAAATTGTGGTGCTCCATCACTGGACGTCTTCAAGAAGAGACTGGACAGCCATATTTTTTTTGAAAATGTTATGGAGTTTCCTGACTGAGCAGAGGCTTGAACTATAAGGCTTCCCAGGTCCCTTCCAACTCTGTTATTCTATTATCCTTCCTTCCTTCCTTCCTTCCTCCCTTCCTCCCTTCCTTCCTTCCTTCCTTCCTTCCTTCCTTCCTTCCTTCCTGATAGAAAGTTCCACCCAAATGATCAGGAAGGATCAGACCCGACAAGGGGCTGGCTCACCAACAGATGCAAGTTTTTCGCTGGCAATAGTTCATGGAAACTCAAACAGCTGCTCCCGCTGGGCAAATATTAGCACGGGGAGACATCAGTGGCAGGAACGGAAACAGAGGCGCCCCCCTCCACCCGCTGGGCAGGTGTTACCTTTGGGCATGGTTTGGTCTGAAGAGATAGGTGAGAGGGCCTCCCAAGAATGCATTTGTATTTAGACACACAAAGGCGGGCGAGGGGTGGGGGAGCACAGCAAACTTGGGAGGGGGAGTTGGGCACATGCTGCTGGCAGAGAGCCAGACCTGCCCCCAATTTCCACCCTAACCCCCATCTTGGCCTAACAGAATGGCTGCATTCCCTTTGCCTCTTTATTCAGACTTTCTTACCCTTCCTTTGACGATCAAAGGAATGCACAGAAGTTAAAACAAAACAGATCCACTCAAGAGGTCCCTGGCCTGCACTGCTCCCTTTTTCAGCCCAAGATCCACCAGCATTTTTGCAGCAGGGCAGAACTCCCCTCCCACCAACATGTGCTCATGGAGACCCCAGAGACAGAAATGCAAACTACACGAATTTCCCCAGGCTGGACAGCAAGGACCGTTTGGATGATCTCACAGCATCCGTGCCAGAAGAAGTGCACTGCAGACAGATCACGATGTCAACGACAAAGCTGCCCAGAACAGGGAGGGATAAAATCAAGGCCATGTGAAGTGTTAATGCCACTTTATAATGCCTTGATAAGACTACATTTGGGATACCGCATCCAGTTTTGGTCACCACAGCATAAAAAAGTTGTTGAGACTCTAGACAGAGGGCAGAGAAGAGCAACAAAGATGATTAGGGGGCTGGAGGCTAAAACATAAGAATGGTTGCAGGAATAGGGGGTGTCTAGTCTAGTGAAAGAAAGGATATTGGTGTCATGACAGCTGTCTTCCAATATCTCAGGGGTTGCCACGAAGAAGAAGGGGTCAGGCTATTCTCCAAAACACCTGAAGGCAGGACAAAAAGCTAATGCATGGAAGCTAATCAAGGAGAGAAGCAACCTGGAATTAAGGAGAAACTTCCTAACAGTGAGGACAGTTAACCAGTGGAAGAGCTTGCCTCCAGAAATTGTGAGTGCTCCATCACTGCAGGTTTTTAAGAAGAGACTTGTCACTTGTCTGAAATGGTATAGGTCCGTGGTGGCAAACCTATGGCATGCGTGCCACAGGTTGCACACAGAGCCCTCTCTGTGGGCACGCGCACCATCACTCCAGTCCTAGGCCTTCAGCTGGGTTTTATAAAACCTTTTCACTTTAGGCCTCCACCGCTGTGTGCAAAAAAAAAAAAAAAAAAAAGGTTCAATCAATCAATCAATTTCAACTTCTTGCAGGAAAAAAAATCTCGCCAAGTTGGAACTGATTGATTGAACTTTTTAGTCCCACCCAGTCTGCTGTTACCACCGCAGCCACGTCCACCCAATGGGCCATGCCCACCCAACTGGCCACACCCACCCAATGGGCCATGCCTACCCGGCACCCGACGATACATAAGTGGGTTTTGGGTTACAGTTTGGGCACTCGGTCTCTAAAAGGTTCGCCATCACTGGTATAGGTTCTCCTACTTGAGCAGGGGGCTGGACTAGAAGACCTCCAAGGTCCCTGCCTACTCTACTGGATGGAAACTAACCAAAGAGAGAAGCAACCTGGAATTTCCTAACAGTGAGAACAATTAAACAGTGGAAGAGAAGTTGCCTTGAGATGTTGTGGATGCTCCAACACTGGAGGTTCTTAAGAACAGGGGTCCCCAACCCCCAGTTTGTGGACTGGTACCGGGCCACGACATGCCAGCAACCAATCCACACAAACAAGCAAAACCCCATCTGCGGGATGCAGGCAGCACACAAAACCACGCACCCTCCAGTCCGCGGAAAAACCTCTCTCCATGAAACCGGTCCCTGGTGCCCAAAAGGTTGGGGACCTCTGCTTAAGTCAGCGGTTCTCAACCTGTGGGTCGCGACCCCATTTGGGGTCAACGACCATTTCACGGGGGTGGCCAAACAACGCGATCCGCCATTTTTTTTCCTCAGCCAGCGCAGGGGGCACTTCCCATGCATGCCGCGCAGGGGGCGCCACCACGCATGCGCGCTGCCTCCTTATGACCTGGGTCGCCAGTATAAAAAGATTGAGAACCACTGGCTTAAGAAGATATTGGACAACCATTTGTCCAGAATGGTCTCCTGCCTGAGCAGGGGATTGCACTAGAAGACCTCTTCCAATTCCGTTCTTCTGAGGACCACCTACTTCTTTAACTTCAGCACCTGATCAGAGCCACAGCCGTGAGGGGACTCTGTTCTCCCGTCCAGAATGGTGCTTCTCACAGAGCCCCCTTGTCGTCGTCCCCTTTAGCACATTAGGATGGCTGAAGTTTGCACTGCTCCGTATCTGCTCAGGGTTTCCCCCTTCCTCCAAGTGGCACCACTCAGCTTCCAAGCAGCTCAGCCCCGGATGTCCTGGCACGAACCCCTCAGGTGTGCCCTGTCTTAGGTGCCAATTCTGTGCACGCTGCGCAGAGAACCAGGCAGCAGGGTGGCGCCGCTGGGGATTGCAATGATCGCTGTAGTAAACAAATGAATGCTTTGGCGTTCAGCAGGATGAACCCAGGACAAGACATTGGAAAGGGATGGAAATATTTCTGCAATTAGCTGTCTCTAGACTGGGACTGAGGCTGAATTGTTCTGCCCTGAATTTCCTCAATCACAACCTCAGACTAAGCACTGCTCTGGTCTGCAGCAGCCAGCCCGCCCGCCCCCCCCGGACCCCCAAACCACAGCCATGATCAGCCTGTGGTTCTCCTTTTATCCCCCCAGGCACTGAGAGGGAGACTAAATCCCCTTTAAGCCTGGTTATTGTTTTTTGTTTGCTGCTCCTACCAAGCAGGCTGAACAGATTTTTTGGTGAACTGCCGATGTCTGGAATCGTTTCACATGGAAAAAAACAACATTATCTCCAGCCCATAATGGATCGGCGTGTTTATTTAGACGGAGATTCCACAGGCGGCCTGGAGCAAGGCGTGCAAAATGGAGGAAATCTGCACGGGTGAAGAAGGGCAGGCCAGCCTCCTGCTCTGCTGCTTTCTCTCCCCAGAAACCACTCAACAGTAGGCGAAATCAAACCGCTCTCCTCCCCTAATGTAGGCAGATGCCCAGGCATTCACACAGCCACAGAACAAACCAAGATTGGTCTGAGCCCAGCAGAGTCTTGGTATAACCGAGAAAGGGGGTCTGTCTCCTGCTTGAGCAGGGGGTTGGACTAGATGACCTCCAAGCTCCCTTCCAACTCTGTTATTCTGTTATGATTAAGGGGTCTGGAGCCTAAACCCTACAATGAAAGATTGAGGGTACTAGATATGATTAGTCTACAGAAGAGAAGGATTAAGGGTGACACGATAGCACCTTCCAATCCTTGAGGTGCTATCCTAGGGGGCAAGGGGTGGAGCTTATTCTCCAAAGCACCAGAAGGCAGGACAAGAAGTAAGAGATGGAAGCTTATCAAAGAGAGATCCAACCTAGAACTAAGGAGAAACTTCCTGACAGTGAGAAGAGTTAAAACCAATGGAACAACTTCCCTTCAGAAGTTGTGGGTGCTCAAACACTGGAGGTTTTTAAGAAGAGATTGGACAGCCATTTGTCTGGCGACTCCTGCTTGAGCAGGGGGTTGGACAAGAAGACCCCCAAGGTCCCTTTCAACTTTGTTAGTCTGTTAATCAGCAGAATGCTTTGCCTCCGGAAGTCATGAGTGCTCCAACACTGGACGCTTTTAAGAAGAGACAGGATCTCCTGCTTGAGTAAGGGGTTGGACTAAATGACCTCCAAGGTCCCTTCCAGCTCTGTTATTCTCCTCTGCCTAACTTCTCACAAGGCGCTGTAGGGCAAGCAACGCTTTTAAGAAGAGACAGGATCTCCTGCTTGAGTAAGGGGTTGGACTAAATGACCTCCAAGGTCCCTTCCAGCTCTGTTATTCTTCTCTGCCTAACTTCTCACAAGACGCTGTAGGGCAAGCAACCCGCTTTTAAGAAGAGACAGGATCTCCTGCTTGAGTAAGGGGTTGGACTAAATGACCTCCAAGGTCCCTTCCAGCTCTGTTATTCTTCTCTGCCTAACTTCTCACAAGACGCTGTAGG